GTTCCGTGATTCTCCGATCTCGCAAGATTTTGTAACCCTTGCGACGCACCTCCTCTCTCGAGCGACGCACCTCCTCTCCAGTGCGACACATCTCCTCTCCCCTGCGACGCACCTCCTCTCCAGTGCGACGCACCTCCTCTCCCGTGCGACGCACCTCCTCTCCCGTGCGACGCACCTCCTCTCCCGTGCGACGCACCTCCTCTCCCGTGCGACGCACCTCCTCTTCCGTGCGACGCACCTCCTCTCCCGTCGCTTTAACTGCCACAAACAGTAATGTTCGCGCGCAAGGCGGTGGAGCTCGTGCAGGAGGTGGCGCGATGCGACGCCGACCAAATCCTGCCCTTCGATGTACGCCCTTGTAGCCCGCCGCGTTCGACGCGGACGCGCTGCGTTCGCAGTGGTGGTGGTGAAGCCTTCCGCATCACCCGCTCTTACATCGTGCTCCCTCGTGCCCACGCCTCCACTCTGCTCCCTGTCCCCACTCCCCCCTCTGTGCTGGCTGTCACGGTGTGGCAGGCGGACGGCGTGCAGCGAGTACTGGAGGAGGCGCACGAGCACCACCAACACATGGTGCAAATTCTCCTGTGCGCGCCTCTCGTCTCCACCTCTCCTCTTCTAACTCCCCACCGCTGATTCCGCCGGCCCCTCCATTGCGCCTCCTTCGCCTTGCTCCTCCCCGCTCACTCGCTCTGCGCTGCACCCCTCGCCGTGGTCGCCTGCACCCCTCGCCCTGGTCTCTTTCCCCTTCCTTCCCCTCCCTCGTTTCTTTCGCCACCCAGATTGTTTTTCGCCTTCTCTGCCGCCCTCCCCCTCCCGCCTCCCTCTTCCCTGCGTGCGTGGCGGGCGGCAGGCGAGTGCAGGGGTCGGGAGTGGAGTGGCAGAAGACGCGGCTGGAGGACGCCACGGCCGTGATGGTGCACCACCAGGCGCTTCTGCGCAACAAGCGCTGCCTCCTCGCCTATCTGTCAGTCCCGCGCCTCCTCGCCTACCTGTCAGTCCGTTCGAATTCGTCACGTCCATCCGTGTGCTTTGTGCTCCATGCATGCTCCATGCTCCATGCATGCTCCATGCACGTTCCATGTTCCGTGCATCGTGCACAGTGATGTGCCATGCGTCTCGAACCTCCCATGCATCGTGCTATGCCCCACGTATTCTGCTCCGAGCATGACAAGCTGGATTTCACTATTGCCCTATCTCGCCTCAATCTCCTCTCCCCTCGCTACCCTCCTCTTTCCCGTCAGCAATGCGCGCATGGATCAGATCCGACGGCTGCGATGGCAGCTGGGCGCAACACTGCCACGGGCGTTGCAGGAGCGGCTGAGTGCGGGGGAGGGCGAGTGGCTGGCGCAGTACTCACAATCACTGGGCGACTACATGGCGGACGCAGGGCTCGACCTCACTGTGGTGAGTCAGTGTGGAAGCAATCAGGGGGGCAAGCAGTGCTTAGTGCCTCACTGTGGTCAGTCAGTGTGGGGGCAACCAGGGGGTTTGAGTCGACTCAAAAGTGGCTGGCGCACTACTCACAGGCACTGGGGGAGTACATGGCGGACGCGGGGCTGGACCTCACTGTGGTGAATGCCACGGCAGTGTAAAAAGGGGCACTGCGGTGTGAAGCGATGCACAGTGGTGTGTTTGAGAGCGCTGTGGTCTGTGTGCGCTCAACGACTACATGGCGGACACAGTGGGCTCGGCCTCACTGTGGTGAGTGAGTGCCTCACTGTGGTGAGTGAGTGCCTCACTGTGGTGAGTGAGTGCCTCACTGTGCCGTGGTCAGTGTGGAAAAGTAGTTTCGACCCAGATCCAGCAGATCTAACTCGTTCTACTCTCCTCTAGGCTGAGCTTAGGCTAGTAGGGATTGAGTAGGTAAGAAAAATGTCATTCAAACCTGAGCGTACGCGCGTTTTGGCCGATGGCCACTGCCTCACCGTGCTCACTGCCTCACTGTGCTCACTGCCATCATGCTCTGCTGTTGCTGTACCATGCTCAGAGGAGGACGGCTCTGTTGCTGTACCATCCCTCTCCTTGCTGTACCATGCTCAGAGGACGGCTCTGTTGCTGTACCATCCCTCTCCTTGCTGTACCATGCTCAGAGGAGGACGGCTCTGTTGCTGTACCATCCCTCTCCTTGCTGTACCATGCTCAGAGGAGGACGGCTCTGTTGCTGTACCATCCCTCTCCTTGCTGTACCATGCTCAGAGGAGGACGGCTCTGTTGCTGTACCATCCCTCTCCTTGCTGTACCATGCTCAGAGGAGGACGGCTCTGTTGCTGTACCATCCCTCTCCTTGCTGTACCATGCTCAGAGGAGGACGGCTCTGTTGCTGTACCATCCCTCTCCTTGCTGTACCATGCTCAGAGGAGGACGGCTCTGTTGCTGTACCATCCCTCTCCTTGCTGTACCATGCTCAGAGGAGGACGGCTCTGTTGCTGTACCATCCCTCTCCTTGCTGTACCATGCTCAGAGGAGGACGGCTCTGTTGCTGTACCATCCCTCTCCTTGCTGTACCATGCTCAGAGGAGGACGGCTCTGTTGCTGTACCATCCCTCTCCTTGCTGTACCATCTCAGAGGAGGACGGCTCTGTTGCTGTACCACCCCTCTCCTTGCTGTACCATGCTCAGAGGAGGACGGCTCTGTTGCTGTACCATCCCTCTCCTTGCTGTACCATGCTCAGAGGAGGACGGCTCTGTTGCTGTACCATCCCTCTCCTTGCTGTACCATGCTCAGAGGAGGACGGCTCTGTTGCTGTACCATCCCTCTCCTTGCTGTACCATGCTCAGAGGAGGACGGCTCTGTTGCTGTACCATCCCTCTCCTTGCCCTCATCCTGCCCACCTTTTCTTCCGTGTGACCTCGCCTGTGGCAGGACCTGCTACCCCCCAAGGACCCGTACATTGAGGTGCGCGTGCTCAAGGACGCCGGTGCAATGTATCTGGACGACAAAGTGGCCTACTTGGAGGCCAACACTCTGCACCTCGTCAGGAAGACCGACGCAGAACCACTTATTCTGAAGGTATTGTACGGATGCCTCTTACATCATCCTTTCCCTTTAAGCCACCCTTCCCCCTGCATCTTTCTCGCTGTACGTCTGTGTGTGTGTTTGTGTGTCCCCCCTTTCCTCCTCGTCCTCCTCGTCCTCCTCGTCCTCCTCGTCCTCCTCGTCCTCCTCGTCCTCCTCCTCCTCCTCCTCCTCCTCCTCCTCCTCCTCCTCCTCCTCCTCCTCCTCCTCCTCTTCTCTCTCCCTCTCTCTTGCCTCTCTCTCCCCCTCTCTCACTCTGCCTCACCCACTCCCTCCACTGCACCTGTCTCATTTTCAGCTCTTCTCCATCATCCTCACTCCTTCCACATTCGCATGCCCTCATGCACATTATATTGACACAGGGATTACTGGAACACCGAGAATACTGACAACTTGGCAGACCTGTTTGCCATACAAGAAATCTATACTCCGTTCAGCACATCATAGTCGTGGCATTTTTAGGCTGTACTGTTTGTGCTCATCAATGACGCAGCTTGCAATGGTATTCACAGCCTGTAAATGGTACAATATGTATGAAACTCTAAGGCAAAGCAGAGATTGGGTAGAACGGGGGTAGGCGAGGACCTTGGGATAAAGGAGGCTCGGATAGTTGGCAAATGGTGCAGTGCGGTGGCGACTCGGGAATAGTTAGGGGCCGAACTGTAGGCTGAACCCAACTGACGAAAGACCCTGCGATACTTGTTGGGTTAGCTTCATTCGTTCAAATGGTGGCAGAAGGGTGGTATCTACTGTGTTTAGACCTTGTACTCCATGTATTGAATATTGTACATCTCTATGGAACTGCTAACATTTTAGAAAAAAAAATACCCTCGGGAACATACTCGCCATTAAGTAAGAGTACGTTAAGGAAATATAATCCCTTACACAACCATTCAACTTTGACTATACAAAAGCCTGTTTTGAAGTTGTGTGCAGATTATCTATTTGAAAACAGCCTAATTGGTGTGCTTGTTTGGTTTGGGGAACAGCCTGCTTTCGCGCCAAAACAGAGCTACCCAACCCAACCAACCTCAGCCGTCTCAAGAACCGAGTCGCAATCAGAAGGGACCGCAGCCGGGATATATCACCCACAACCCGCCCATCTTCGCAGGGTATTCTATAAAAAACAATTGACACAGCGCTCCTGGTCTCGAAGGTAGCTTTTCACCACTAAGGACCTTCTAACTGTTGTTTTGACAAACAATTCGGCTCTTTTATTCGCCAGTCAGCATCGAGGTTGGGCCAGAAATCGGTTACCAAAAGACGATTTGAGTGCGCCCTGCCATTTCATGTACCACGACAACACGCATGGAACAAATGCATTCCCTTCTCGTGAGCGACATTCCCTTCAACAGAGCAAGCACTTCGTCCTCTTCATTTGCTTCCAGGTCGTTACCGATAGTTTTATTCTGTTAGTATCCGCTCGCATTTTCCCTGGGCGGATCTCGCAGAAAATTCTCGTACGCCTGTTACTTCAGGACGTCGCCCCTGAGACCCGGCGAGTTTTTCTTCATGGAGCTCGCAGCCCTCGGCGTGCTGCTCCTGCTCACATTTCTCTCAGTCCCACGAGTTGACTGCGTTCCCCTTGCCAACTCCCAGGGTATAGTAGTTAATTTCTGTCTTGCTTTCCTCTCTCACCAGTGGCGATGGAGGACGTTAAGAGAGGAAACGTGACGTACATGGAGTTTCCGCTCCGATCCCTACCAATGCTCTCCTTCACATCACCCTATTGCCAATCCCTTCACCTCCCACTTCCAATCCCTTCACCTCCCACTTCCAATCCCTTCACCTCCCACTTCCAATCCCTTCACCTCCCACTTCCAATCTCTTCACCTCCCACTTCCAATCCCTTCACCTCCCACTTCCCATCCCTTCACCTCCCACTTCCAATCCCTTCACTTCCCACTTCCAATCCCTTCACCTCCCACTTCCAATACCTTCACCTCCCACTTCCAATCCCTGCGCCTTCCTTCCCTGCCGCCAGCACGAGTCCTGCTGGACTGTCAGAAGGCATGGAACACAACGATGGATGGCTGGGTGGTTGGTGGGGACTGCAGCAAGGCGGCGAACATCACGTGCGATGCCACGGGCATGATTACATCCATGTGAGTGCACATCAGCGCGTAGAATACTACTAGGCCGCCTCGCCATGCCCTCCTCGTCCTCTGCTCCTCTACCGCCCTGCATCCTCCTTGTAACAGTGCAGCAGCTGAGTGCTGCCAACTGCAATACAAGTGGGCGGAAGTCAAGCGCCACCTCACCTATAGTCCAGATTGGTCAAGCGCCTCAACCTGCAGTTGGGCGACAAAGTTCCAACAAGCAGCCCAAGTCAAACCCACCCACGAAAATTACGAAACGCAGAACACCGAAGTTCCGACCGCTCGCTGACTTCGCCAACAACACCGACGAAATTACAGCCCCGTACCCACGGTCGCCGTCCAATCCCGTACCGCAATAATTCTCTGAATTTCACGGCAGGTTCATGTCAAGGGGTTGGGTTACCATTGAGAAATTAAGAGTGTCGCGACTTGGGAGTGCGACTCGATTTGTGAATGTGCTCTATAAAATTGTACTGTCAAATTTGTGAAGTGATATTGGAAATTCCAGATAACTCCAGAGAGCATCTTATACCCGTTTTCCAAGCATACTAAGGGGGCTACTTCCCTGCCCAGCTCGTTTCACTCCTTGTCCTCTCCTTCGCCCATGCTCCAAATGTTGGCCGAGTGCTTCAGATGATGCTCCCGAGATTTTGATCCGCATTTTTCCAGATGTCTCCAAATGTCTCCAATTCACCAGGCCAAGTACTAAGTGTCGCGCGCATGTTTGCGTTTTCCTTTCGCGCTAAACATTGAAAATTTCTTTAAAAAATCAGTCCAGTGTACGTCGTTCGAACCGCCGTACGGCACGATCCCGATTCGCGAACGAGAAATCATGGAGGCGCGTGAGATGATCAGAATGTTAATGTTGCCATAGCATCAGCCATCTTTTCGTCCGCATGACGTTGGAAATATCAAATTCAAAAGTGCGGTTGGAACCGTATCTTGCAGGTTCTCCCTAAACCCGAAATGGTTCAATTTTCTCTCTACCGTTCCGGAACTCCGTGTTCCGAGTCTTGATCTAAGCCCCCCAGGGAGACGCTTCTACTACGCGCTGCGAGTGTCCATTCCTCTTCGCCTTGTTTCTCTGCATGATACGCATGCGAGTGTCCAATACTCTCTACTCGTATTCATGCGTGTTCTCACTCTCGCATCAGGCACATCGAGTACAACAGCTTCAATGGCCCCATTCCCGACTCCATTGCCAACCTTGCGAATCTTCGTAGCTTGTGAGCCATTCAAGCCCTGGTGCGGCATGCGAGGAACGCAACGCAGTGAGGACATGATTTTATTGCCCGTTTGCCACGCGATATTTCGAATCGGGCCATTTGCGACGAATCGGACCATTTGCGAGGAATCGGGCCATTTGCGACGAATTGAACCTTTTTTCGACAAGGTGGGTCATTTGCGACAAGTGGGGCCATTGCGACAAATTGAGTTTTTTGCGACAAATTGGGTCTTGTCCGACAAATTGGACCCGTTCGTCGCCCAGCATAGATAGTTAGACATCCTTGTTTGTAATGTATATATTCATCTAGGGTTGAAGGTTTAAATTGAAGGTTGTATTCAAGCTTAGGGAGTGGTTGAGCACTACAACAGCGTTTGAACTTCATCTTGAGAGCATACCCGTTGACTGAAATCGAACCAGCCGATCTTGAAACGCCCGCGCTTCAGGATCCGCATTGCGGCCCCGTCCGAAATGAATGGTCGTTCAAGATCCGCCGGGCATGGTTCGGCTTGTCGACGAGTTCCGGGCCGTTCATTGCCCGGTTCTTGCGGCTTGTCGAGCCGGCTCGCCATGACGGAGGGGGGGTGGGGGGGTCGAGGCGAACGTTGGAAACGGGCGGCTTGGCTCGTCTCTCATGCAAGCTGAGGAAGGCAAGATTCCGGCTGGACCACCAGCTCTTGACTAATCTGGAGTTTTGACACATGCTTGCATGCCTGCCTGCTCTTCGTTTGCAATCTTGTCAGTATCCTGGCGTTTACCAACCTGACTGGCCCCATCCCTGAGTCCATCAGCAACCTCGCAAAATTAAGTCACCTGTGAGTACCTGCCATGCTTTTTTAGGTTTTGCCACAGATTGAAGCTTTTCATGCCTTGACATCTGCACGTGATGCCTCGAGCTGAGCTGCTGTGTGCTCTTACAATGTGCTCCGATTCTGCTTCTCGAGCCGCCTCCGCACGACTGGGGACAACGTTGGAGACGGGTCGTGGACGGCCTGGTTCGTCTCATTAACAATCCAAGCCAGCGAGTCGAGCTGCCGGCTGGGCCACCTGTTCTTGACTAATCCGGATTTTCCACACATTCACATGCATGCATGTATGCCCGCTGCACACATCACATGCATGACCTTCGCTGTCTTCTCAGAGACCTGTTTACCAACCAGCTGACTGGATTTCCCGAGTCCATCACCAAACTTGCAAAGCTTAATCACTTGTGAGTGCCATCATGCCATGCTTTCTCGGGTTTTGTCTCAGATTGGAGCCCCCTATGCCTTGAGATCTGCAGGTGCTGCCATAATCTGTGGGTGTTTTAAGATGTCCACTGAGGCACCTGCTCTTACCTAATCCGTATTCTCCACACATGCATGCGTGCATGCCCACTTGCTGTCTTTTCAGCGACCTGGGGAACAACAGGCTGACTGGCACCATTCCTGAGGCCATCACCAACCTCGCACTCCTCACCTACTTGTGAGTACCTGCCATGCTTTCTTGGCCCTTGTCTCATATTCGACCTCTTCATGCCTTGAGATCTGCTGGTGCTGCCATGAGCTGTGTGCGACTGGAATGCGCTTTCCAGCTGTCTTCTATTCTTGCTCTCCATGCATTACCACAAGGGCTGCCTGCCAGCCTCTGTACCTCCTTCCGTGCACAGGGGTGTGCACAGGGGTGTGCACAGGGGTGTGCGCAAGCCTGAGTCCAACTCAGGTAGGTCCTCCCCTCTTTTGAGTCAGGTCAAGCTGGCTCAGAACGAGCGTAGCTGCACTGCACTGCACATGTGACAAAGGTTTGTCCCCTCCCCCGTCATGAGTCAGGGCATCTCGTGAAGAGATGAGAGGGCTTTCCTCTTCACGTGCCAGTTTGTCGTGGTCCGGTCGGGCCCGGTTCGGCTTGTTGACGGGCTCTGGGCCACTGATTGGCTGACGCTTGCCATTCGGCGATCTGGCTCAGCTCGACTAACGATGAGCTGAACGTTGGAGACGGGCGGCTTGGATCGTCTTAACATGAGCCGACCCGAGCCCCCAGCTGAGCCATGTGCCCTTGACTAATCCGGATTCTCGACACATGCATGCATGCATGCCCATTGTGGTATTTTCAGTGACATGGGTACCAACGGGTTGACGGGCACCATTCCTGAGGCCATCACCAACCTCGTGAATCTTCGTGAATTGTCAGTATCTGCCCGCCTGCCATGATTTCTTGGGCTTTGCCTCGGATTGAAGCTCGGAATGTACTCACTAGCTGCCTCCTATTCATTATCTCCTGGTGTTGCTTGGTGTATGTATCATACATTACCATACGGGGTGCCTGCCAGCTTGTACGTCTTTCCATGCACAGGGATATGCACAGGGATATGCACAGGGATATGCACAGGGATATGCACAGGGATATGCACAGGGATATGCACAGGGATATGCACAGGGATATGCACAGGGATATGCACAGGGATATGCACAGGGATATGCACAGGGATATGCACAGGGATATGCACAGGGATATGCACAGGGATATGCACAGGGATATGCACAGGGATATGCACAGGGATATGCACAGGGATATGCACAGGGATATGCACAGGGATATGCACAGGGATATGCACAGGGATATGCACAGGGATATGCACAGGGATATGCACAGGGATATGCACAGGGATATGCACAGGGATATGCACAGGCACGAGTCCATCTCTGATAATCCCTCCTCTCTTTTACATCAGGCTGGGTCAAAACGACTGTAGCTTCAAGCCCACCTGCCCTCCCATCAGGCCCGGGCTGCTTGCAGGCCTACCCACCTGCCATTGCCTCATCCGAGTTCCCGCCGCCACATGCATGCATGCCCTTTTGGTCTCTTATCAGTAAACTATTCACCAACAGCTTGACTGGCAGCATTTTCGAGTCCATTGGCAACCTTACGAACCTCAATGTCTTGTGAGTGCCATGCCGTGTGAGTGCCATGCCGTGTGAGTGCCATGCCGTGTGAGTGCCATGCTTTCTTGTTCTCCGTTTCAGATTGAGCCCCTTCATGTCTTCGAGCTGTGTGCTGTGTTCTTGGATGGAATGTGCTCTCCATCTCTCCTTGTTCATTCTCTCATGCTGTTGCTCAATCGTTCATGAGCTCACCGGGTGCCAGTCTGCCTGCAGCTCCATCCGTTCACATCCTCGAGTGTGCTCAGCTGCCTCAAACACGAATCCTGCCCACCTGGCTGAAAACGAAAGGAGCATGCATGGAAGGACATTTGACATTTGACGTCAAGGTTGCCTCTCAGGGTCGTGGCATCCTCCATCTGTGCATGCGTTGCGTCTTCTCTCACCTCCCATTCTCCTCTCACCTCCCATTCTCTCCTCACCTCCCATTCTCCCCTCACCTCCCATTCTCCCCTCACCTCCCATTCTCCCCTCACCTCCCATTCTCCCCTCACCTTCCATTCTCCCCTCACCTCCCATTCTCCCCTCACCTCCCATTCTCCCCTCACCTCCCATTCTCTCCTCACCTCCCATTCTCTCCTCACCTCCCATTCTCTCCTCACCTCCCATTCTCTCCTCACCTCCCATTCTCCCCTCACCTCCCATTCTCCCCTCACCTCCCATTCTCCCCTCACCTCCCATTCTCCCCTCACCTCCCATTCTCCCCTCACCTCCCATTCTCCCCTCACCCCACATTCTCCCCTCACCTCCCATTCTCCCCCTCACCTCCCATTCTCCCCTCACCTCCCATTCTCCCCTCACCCCCCATTCTCCCCTCACTTCCCATTCTCCACTCACCTCCCATTCTCCCCTCACCTCCCATTCTCCCCTCACCTCCCATTCTCCCCTCACCTCCCATTCTCCCCTCACCTCCCATTCTCCCCTCACCCCCCATTCTCTCCTCACCTCCCATTCTCCCCTCACCTCCCATTCTCCCCTCACCCCCCATTCTCCCCTCACCTCCCATTCTCCCCTCACCTCCCATTCTCCCCTCACCTCCCATTCTCCCCTCACCCCCCATTCTCCCCTCACCTCCCATTCTCCCCTCACCTCCCATTCTCCCCTGACCTCCCATTCTCCCCTCACCCCCCATTCTCCCCTCACCTCCCATTCTCCCCTCACCTCCCATTCTCCCCTCACCCCCCATTCTCCCCTCACCTCCCATTCTCCCCTCACCTCCCATTCTCCCCTCACCTCCCATTCTCCCCTCACCCCCCATTCTCCCCTCACCCCCCATTCTCCCCTCACCCCCCATTCTCCCCTCACCTCCCATTCTCTCCTCACCACCCATTCTCCCCTCACCTCCCATTCTCCCCTCACCTCCCATTCTCCCCTCACCTCCCAATCTCCCCTCACCCCCCATTCTCCCCTCACCTCCCATTCTCCCCTCACCTCCCGTTCTCCCCTCACCTCCCATTCTCCCCTCACCTCCCATTCTCCCCTCACCTCCCATTCTCCCCTCACCTCCCATTCTCCACTCACCTCCCATTCTCCCCTCACCTCCCATTCTCCCCTCACCTCCCATTCTCCCCTCACCCCCCATTCTCCCCTCACCCCCCATTCTCCCCTCACCTCCCATTCTCCCCTCACCTCCCGTTCTCCCCTCACCTCCCATTCTCTCCTCACCTCCCATTCTCCCCTCACCTCCCATTCTCGCCTCACCTCCCATTCTCCCCTCACCTCCCATTCTCCCCTCACTTCCCATTCTCCCCTCACCTCCCATTCTCCCCTCACCCCCAATTCTCCCCTCACCCCCCATTCTCCCCTCACCTCCCATTCTCCCCTCACCTCCCATTCTCCCCTCACCTCCCATTCTCCCCTCACCCCCCATTCTCCCCTCACCTCCCATTCTCCCCTCACCTCCCATTCTCCCCTCACCTCCCATTCTCCCCTCACCTCCCATTCTCCCCTCCCATTCTCCCCTCACCCTCCATTCTCCCCTCACCCCGCATTCTCCCCTCACCTCCCATTCTCCCCTCACCTCCCATTCTCCCCTCACCTCCCATTCTCCCCTCACCCCCCATTCTCCCCTCACCTCCCATTCTCCCCTCACCTCCCATTCTCCCCTCACCTCCCATTCTCCCCTCACCTCCCATTCTCCCCTCACCCTCCATTCTCCCCTCACCCCGCATTCTCCCCTCACCTCCCATTCTCCCCTCACCTCCCATTCTCCCCTCACCCCCCATTCTCCCCTCACCTCCCATTCTCCCCTCACCCCCCATTCTCCCCTCATCTCCCATTCTCCCCTCACCTCCCATTCTCCCCTCACCTCCCATTCTCCCCTCACCCCGCATTCTCCCCTCACCTCCCATTCTCCCCTCACCTCCCATTCTCCCTCACTTTCCATTCTCCCCTCACCTCCCATTCTCCCCTCACCTCCCATTCTCCCCTCACCCCCCATTCTCCCCTCACCCCCCATTCTCCCCTCACCCCCCATTCTCCCCTCACCCCCCATTCTCTCCTCACCAACCATTCTCCCCTCATCTCCCATTCTCCCCTCACCTCCCATTCTCCCCTCACCCCCCATTCTCCCCTCACCCCCCATTCTCTCCTCACCTCCCATTCTCTCCTCACCAACCATTCTCCCCTCACCTCCCATTCTCCCCTCACCTCCCATTCTCCCCTGACCTCCCATTCTCCCCTCACCCCCCATTCTCCCCTCACCCCCCATTCTCCCCTCACCTCCCATTCTCCCCTCACCTCCCATTCTCCCCTCACCTCCCATTCTCCCCTCACCTCCCATTCTCACCTCACCTACCATTCTCCCCTCACCTCCCATTCTCCCCTCACCTCCCATTCTCCCCTCACCTCCCATTCTCCCCTCACCCCCCATTCTCCCCTCACCCCCCATTCTCCCCTCACCTCCCATTCTCCCCTCACCTCCCATTCTCCCCTCACCCCCCATTCTCCCCTCACCTCCCATTCTCCCCTCACCCCCCATTCTCCCCTTACCCCCCCATTCTCCCCTCACCTCCCATTCTCCCCTCACCTCCCATTCTCCCCTCACCTCCCATTCTCCTCACCTCCCATTCTCCCCTCACCTCCCATTCTCCCCTCACCCCCCATTCTCCCCTCACCTCCCATTCTCCCCTCACCTCCCATTCTCCGCTCACCTCCCATTCTCCCCTCACCTCCCATTCTCCCCTCACCTCCCATTCTCCCCTCACCTCCCATTCTCCCCTATTCTCCCATTCTCCCCTCACCTCCCATTCTCCCCTCACCCCCCATTCTCCCCTCACCCCCCATTCTCCCCTCACCTCCCATTCTCTCCTCACCAACCATTCTCCCCTCACCTCCCATTCTCCCCTCACCTCCCATTCTCCCCTGACCTCCCATTCTCCCCTCACCCCCCATTCTCCCCTCACCCCCCATTCTCCCCTCACCTCCCATTCTCCCCTCACCTCCAATTCTCCCCTCACCTCCCATTCTCCCCTCACCTCCCATTCTCACCTCACCTACCATTCTCCCCTCACCTCCCATTCTCCCCTCACCTCCCATTCTCCCCTCACCTCCCATTCTCCCCTCACCCCCCATTCTCCCCTCACCCCCCATTCTCCCCTCACCTCCCATTCTCCCCTCACCTCCCATTCTCCCCTCACCTCCCATTCTCCCCTCACCCTCCATTCTCCCCTCACCCCGCATTCTCCCCTCCTCACCTCCCATTCTCCCCTCACCTCCCATTCTCCCCTCACCTCCCATTCTCCCCTCACCTCCCATTCTCTCCTCACCTCCCATTCTCCCCTATTCTCCCATTCTCCCCTCACCTCCCATTCTCCCCTCACCTCCCATTCTCCCCTCACCTCCCATTCTCCCCTCACCTCCCATTCTCCCCTCACCTCCCATTCTCCCCTCACCTCCCATTCTCCCCTCACCCCCCATTCTCCCCTCACCTCCCATTCTCCCCTCACCTCCCATTCTCCCCTCACCTCCCATTCTCCCCTCACCTCCCATTCTCCCCTCACCTCCCATTCTCCCCTCACCTCCCATTCTCCCCTCACCTCCCATTCTCCCCTCACCTCCCATTCTCCCCTCACCCCCCATTCTCCCCTCACCCCCCATTCTCCCCTCACCTCCCATTCTCCCCTCACCTCCCATTCTCCCCTCACCTCCCATTCTCCTCACCTCCCATTCTCCCCTCACCTCCCATTCTCCCCTCACCTCCCATTCTCCCCTCACCTCCCATTCTCCCCTCACCCCCCATTCTCTCCTCACCAACCATTCTCCCCTCACCTCCCATTCTCCCCTCACCTCCCATTCTCCCCTCACCCCCCATTCTCCCCTCACCCCCCATTCTCCCCTCACCCCCCATTCTCCCCTCACCTCCCATTCTCCCCTCACCTCCCATTCTCCCCTCACCTCCCATTCTCCCCTCACCCCCCATTCTCCCCTCACCTCCCATTCTCCCCTCACCTCGCATTCTCCCCTCACCTCCCATTCTCCCCTCACCTCCCATTCTCCCCTCACCCTCCATTCTCCCCTCACCCCGCATTCTCCCCTCACCTCCCATTCTCCCCTCACCTCCCATTCTCCCCTCACCTCCCATTCTCCCCTCACCTCCCATTCTCTCCTCACCTCCCATTCTCCCCTATTCTCCCATTCTCCCCTCACCTCCCATTCTCCCCTCACCTCCCATTCTCCCCTCACCCCCCATTCCCCCCTCACCCCCCATTCTCCCCTCACCTCCCATTCTCCCCTCACCTCCCATTCTCCGCTCACCTCCCATTCTCTCCTCACCTCCCATTCTCCCCTATTCTCCCATTCTCCCCTCACCTCCCATTCTCCCCTCACCTCCCATTCTCCCCTCACCCCCCATTCTCCCCTCACCTCCCATTCTCCCCTCACCTCCCATTCTCCGCTCACCTCCCATTCTCCCCTCACCTCCCATTCTCCCCTCACCTCCCATTCTCCCCTCACCTCCCATTCTCCCCTATTCTCCCATTCTCCCCTCACCTCCCATTCTCCCCTCACCCCCCATTCTCCCCTCACCCCCCATTCTCCCCTCACCTCCCATTCTCTCCTCACCAACCATTCTCCCCTCACCTCCCATTCTCCCCTCACCTCCCATTCTCCCCTGACCTCCCATTCTCCCCTCACCCCCCATTCTCCCCTCACCCCCCATTCTCCCCTCACCTCCCATTCTCCCCTCACCTCCCATTCTCCCCTCACCTCCCATTCTCCCCTCACCTCCCATTCTCACCTCACCTACCATTCTCCCCTCACCTCCCATTCTCCCCTCACCTCCCATTCTCCCCTCACCTCCCATTCTCCCCTCACCCCCCATTCTCCCCTCACCCCCCATTCTCCCCTCACCTCCCATTCTCCCCTCACCTCCCATTCTCCCCTCACCTCCCATTCTCCCCTCACCTCCCATTCTCCCCTCACCCCCCATTCTCCCCTCACCTCCCATTCTCCCCTCACCTCCCATTCTCCCCTCACCTCCCATTCTCCCCTCACCTCCCATTCTCCCCTCACCCTCCATTCTCCCCTCACCCCGCATTCTCCCCTCACCTCCCATTCTCCCCTCACCTCCCATTCTCCCCTCACCTCCCATTCTCCCCTCACCTCCCATTCTCTCCTCACCTCCCATTCTCCCCTATTCTCCCATTCTCCCCTCACCTCCCATTCTCCCCTCACCTCCCATTCTCCCCTCACCTCCCATTCTCCCCTCACCTCCCATTCTCCCCTCACCTCCCATTCTCCCCTCACCCCCCATTCTCCCCTCACCCCCCATTCTCCCCTCACCTCCCATTCTCCCCTCACCTCCCATTCTCCCCTCACCTCCCATTCTCCCCTCACCTCCCATTCTCCCCTCACCCCCCGTTCTCCCCTCACCTCCCATTCTCCCCTCACCTCCCATTCTCCCCTCACCCCCCATTCTCCCCTCACCTCCCATTCTCCCCTCACCTCCCATTCTCCCCTCACCTCCCATTCTCCCCTCACCTCCCATTCTCCCCTCACCTCCCATTCTCCCCTCACCCCCCATTCTCCCCTTACCCCCCCATTCTCCCCTCACCTCCCATTCTCCCCTCACCCCCCATTCTCCCCTCACCTCCCATTCTCCTCACCTCCCATTCTCCCCTCACCTCCCATTCTCCCCTCACCCCCCATTCTCCCCTCACCTCCCATTCTCCCCTCACCTCCCATTCTCCGCTCACCTCCCATTCTCCCCTCACCTCCCATTCTCCCCTCACCTCCCATTCTCCCCTCACCTCCCATTCTCCCCTATTCTCCCATTCTCCCCTCACCTCCCATTCTCCCCTCACCCCCCATTCTCCCCTCACCCCCCATTCTCCCCTCACCTCCCATTCTCTCCTCACCAACCATTCTCCCCTCACCTCCCATTCTCCCCTCACCTCCCATTCTCCCCTGACCTCCCATTCTCCCCTCACCCCCCATTCTCCCCTCACCCCCCATTCTCCCCTCACCTCCCATTCTCCCCTCACCTCCCATTCTCCCCTCACCTCCCATTCTCCCCTCACCTCCCATTCTCACCTCACCTCCCATTCTCCCCTCACCTCCCATTCTCCCCTCACCTCCCATTCTCCCCTCACCTCCCATTCTCCCCTCACCCCCCATTCTCCCCTCACCCCCCATTCTCCCCTCACCCCCCATTCTCCCCTCACCTCCCATTCTCCCCTCACCTCCCATTCTCCCCTCACCTCCCATTCTCCCCTCACCCCCCATTCTCCCCTCACCTCCCATTCTCCCCTCACCTCGCATTCTCCCCTCACCTCCCATTCTCCCCTCACCTCCCATTCTCCCCTCACCCTCCATTCTCCCCTCACCCCGCATTCTCCCCTCACCTCCCATTCTCCCCTCACCTCCCATTCTCCCCTCACCTCCCATTCTCCCCTCACCTCCCATTCTCTCCTCACCTCCCATTCTCCCCTATTCTCCCATTCTCCCCTCACCTCCCATTCTCCCCTCACCTCCCATTCTCCCCTCACCTCCCATTCTCCCCTCACCTCCCATTCTCCCCTCACCTCCCATTCTCCCCTCACCCCCCATTCTCCCCTCACCCCCCATTCTCCCCTCACCTCCCATTCTCCCCTCACCTCCCATTCTCCCCTCACCTCCCATTCTCCCCTCACCTCCCATTCTCCCCTCACCCCCCATTCTCCCCTCACCTCCCATTCTCCCCTCACCTCCCATTCTCCCCTCACCCCCCATTCTCCCCTCACCTCCCATTCTCCCCTCACCTCCCATTCTCCCCTCACCTCCCATTCTCCCCTCACCTCCCATTCTCCCCTCACCTCCCATTCTCCCCTCACCCCCCATTCTCCCCTTACCCCCCCATTCTCCCCTCACCTCCCATTCTCCCCTCACCTCCCATTCTCCCCTCACCTCCCATTCTCCTCACCTCCCATTCTCCCCTCACCTCCCATTCTCCCCTCACCTCCCATTCTCCCCTCACCTCCATTCTCCCCTCACCCCCCATTCTCTCCTCACCAACCATTCTCCCCTCACCTCCCATTCTCCCCTCACCTCCCATTCTCCCCTCACCCCCCATTCTCCCCTCACCCCCCATTCTCCCCTCACCCCCCATTCTCCCCTCACCTCCCATTCTCCCCTCACCTCCCATTCTCCCCTCACCTCCCATTCTCCCCTCACCCCCCATTCTCCCCTCACCTCCCATTCTCCCCTCACCTCGCATTCTCCCCTCACCTCCCATTCTCCCCTCACCTCCCATTCTCCCCTCACCCTCCATTCTCCCCTCACCCCGCATTCTCCCCTCACCTCCCATTCTCCCCTCACCTCCCATTCTCCCCTCACCTCCCATTCTCCCCTCACCTCCCATTCTCTCCTCACCTCCCATTCTCCCCTATTCTCCCATTCTCCCCTCACCTCCCATTCTCTCCTCACCTCCCATTCTCCCCTCACCCCCCATTCTCCCCTCACCCCCCATTCTCCCCTCACCTCCCATTCTCCCCTCACCTCCCATTCTCCGCTCACCTCCCATTCTCCCCTCACCTCCCATTCTCCCCTCACCTCCCATTCTCCCCTCACCTCCCATTCTCCCCTATTCTCCCATTCTCCCCTCACCTCCCATTCTCCCCTCACCCCCCATTCTCCCCTCACCCCCCATTCTCCCCTCACCTCCCATTCTCTCCTCACCAACCATTCTCCCCTCACCTCCCATTCTCCCCTCACCTCCCATTCTCCCCTGACCTCCCATTCTCCCCTCACCCCCCATTCTCCCCTCACCCCCCATTCTCCCCTCACCTCCCATTCTCCCCTCACCTCCCATTCTCCCCTCACCTCCCATTCTCCCCTCACCTCCCATTCTCCCCTCACCTCCCATTCTCCCCTCACCTCCCATTCTCCCCTCACCTCCCATTCTCCCCTCGCCTCCCATTCTCCCCTCACCCCCCATTCTCCCCTCACCCCCCATTCTCCCCTCACCTCCCATTCTCCCCTCACCTCCCATTCTCCCCTCACCTCCCATTCTCCCCTCACCTCCCATTCTCCCCTCACCCCCCATTCTCCCCTCACCTCCCATTCTCCCCTCACCTCCCATTCTCCCCTCACCTCCCATTCTCCCCTCACCTCCCATTCTCCCCTCACCCTCCATTCTCCCCTCACCCCGCATTTTCCCCTCACCTCCCATTCTCCCCTCACCTCCCATTCTCCCCTCACCTCCCATTCTCCCCTCACCTCCCATTCTCCCCTCACCTCCCATTCTCCCCTATTCTCCCATTCTCCCCTCACCTCCCATTCTCCCCTCACCCCCCATTCTCCCCTCACCCCCCATTCTCCCCTCACCTCCCATTCTCTCCTCACCTCCTATTTTCCCCTCACCTCCCATTCTCCCCTCACCCTCCATTCTCCCCTCACCTCCCATTCTCCCCTCACCTCCCATTCTCCCCTCACCCCCCATTCTCCCGTCACCTCCCATTCTCCCCTCACCTCCCATTCTCCCCTCACCCCCCATTCTCCCCTCACCTCCCATTCTCCCCTCACCCCCCATTCTCCCCTCACCTCCCATTCTCCCCTCACCTCCCATTCTCCCCTCACCCCCCATTCTCCCCTCACCTCCCATTCTCCCCTCACCTCCCATTCTCCGCTCACCTCCCATTCTCCCCTCACCTCCCTCCCATTCTCCCCTCACCTCCCATTCTCCCCTCACCTCCCATTCTCCCCTCACCCCACATTCTCCCCTCACCTCCCATTCTCCCCTCACCCCCGATTCTCCCCTCACCTCCCATTCTCCCCTCACCTCCCATTCTCCCCTCACCTCCCATTCTCCCCTCACCTCCCATTCTCCCCTCACCCCCCATTCTCCCCTCACCTTCCATTCTCCCCTCACCTCCCATTCTCCCCTCACCCCTCATTCTCCCCTCACCTCCCATTCTCCCCTCACCTCCCATTCTCCCCTCACCCCCCATTCTCCCCTCACCTCCCATTTTCCCCTCACCTCCCATTCTCCCTTCACCTCCCATTCTCCCCTCACCTCCCATTCTTCCCTCACCTCCCATTCTTCCCTCACCTTCCATTCTCCCCTCACCTCCCATTCTCCCCTCACCTCCCATTCTCCCCTCCCCTCACCTCCCATGTTCCTCTCACTAGGGACTTTTCCCAGAACAGCATCACTGGCCCAATCCCACAGTCTGTCGAGAAGCTCACGGGCCTTAATCGCTTGTATGTAGCTCGACTGTACACCAGTTCGGTGCCACGAGGTTGATACGTGGCAGCAACTTAGGATAGTAACACGTGTGAATGTTAGTAGCTCTTTGAAAGAAACGCCTGTGTATAAAACGGCGGTAACTGGTTGCTCAGAACAGCATCAAGGGCACAATTCTGCGATCGGTCGAGAAGCTCACGGGCCTCAGTCGCTTGTAAGTAGGCAGGAGGAAAAGTCGAACCCGAACCAGGCGGGTTGAACGAACGCGAACCTGCAGTAAGTCAAACTAAAGTGAACCAAGTTGGGGTCAAAGCGTTTGTTGTGCCGGTTGGTTTGAGGTTCAGGCTTAGCTGTTCGAATCGTGGGGTGTTCGAGTCAAGCGAAGCGCCACCTTCATTGTAGTCACAACTGTTAGTATAATTTCTCCCCTTCTTTTTTAGAAAGAGACTATCGTGAAGTACCATGGGTCGGGGTAATGGATAATGTAGTAGAATGGTTGAAAGTGATGAGCGGAAGGCAGGAAAAGGCCGTGGAACCAGTTCAATTCTATACAAACCAAAAATCTTTTTGCCTCTCGAGTTTCGACCCCATTTCAGTTCAACTCAGACCAGTGGAGTCAGTTAGGGTAACATGCACGACGACGCATGCCAGTTTGAGCCGATTCGGAACGTCGAATCGAAAAGGCCAGACGCACGCGTATTTGGCATTTTACGGTCAGATTTGCGAGGATCTGGTGTTTCGGCGCCTTCCCAAAACTGAACCCGGGGCAGTTTGGGTCCAACTTCATACCATGCGGCCTGAACCTTATCAAGTTTGGCCACATTAGGTGACCTTCGATCCCTTAATCCCCCCGTTTCGGTTCGACTCGAACCGAACCCGTTCGAGTTCAGTTAAATGGAAGAATATTACGAAGGCTTGAGCTATGAATCACGGGGTGTTTGATGAGGTGTTTAATAATTGGGTAATCGTCCATGGATGCCATGCCCTGCACTCCAAGCCTATGCGGTGTTTGTTAAAGAAGTACTCTTCTTGAGGAAATGTACGAAAATTTGACAAGTTATGTTCAGAGGAAGCTGAGCTTTCCAGGTATTATTCATCATCATCTATTGGGCACTTGGTTACACCTCTCTCTCCCCCCACATAACTGGGCCATACTTCCCATTTTGTGCCACATGCACGTGATTCCTCCATTTGCCTCCATCAGGGGTCTGTTTGAAAACAACATGACGGGCTCGATTCCTGACTCCATTTCCACACTCACAAGGCTAACTTACTTGTACGTGCTTTTTGGTTTCTGGGTTGACATGTGAGCGATGATAAAGTGCGATCGATCAATGTCGTTTGCTCTTCCGACCCCGCATTCCCACAAGCAGCCCCTTCACGCATGCATGTTCTGTCACAAGCAGTTTGTTACACGTGTTCTGTCACAAGCAGTTTGTTACACGTGTTCTGTCACAAGCAGTTTGTTACACGTGTTCTGTCACAAGCAGTTTGTTACACGTGTTCTGTCACAAGCAGTTTGTTACACGTGTTCTGTCACAAGCAGTTTGTTACACGTGTTCTGTCACAAGCAGTTTGTTACACGTGTTCTGTCACAAGCAGTTTGTTACACGTGTTCTGTCACAAGCAGTTTGTTACACGTGTTCTGTCACAAGCAGTTTGTTACACGTGTTCTGTCACAAGCAGTTTGTTACACGTGTTCTGTCACAAGCAGTTTGTTACACGTGTTCTGTCACAAGCAGTTTGTTACACGTGTTCTGTCACAAGCAGTTTGTTACACGTGTTCTGTCACAAGCAATTTGTTACACATGTTCAGCAGGTGGAATGAATTGACAAGTGCAATCAGCAGGTGGCATCAGCCATCGGCTAGCCTCATCTGCTGCCAAGCCTAACTGCCTCTCTGGGTTTGGATAATTCGCGGCCAAACCGGCTGGGCTTATTCAGGCTTCACCCTGGCAATCCGTTGTCCTGGCTGGACCCTGTTGGCTTGGCTCAGCTTGCATGGGTCCGATGCTGCCTGTGTCTGTTCCCATGCAGCATGCATGGCTCTGATTCTGAACCACTCAATCACCTTTTGGAGCACTTGTGAACCAATTCGCATAAGCATTTGATTCACTCAGTCTATCTTCCTTCCACTTGCTCAAATCACCCTTCTATCCTGCAAATCGCAGAGGTCTCACACTAAACAAGCTGACTGGATCAATTCCGCCACTGGGCAACCTCCTTGCATGTGAAAGCATGTGAGTGAGCTGCTTGATGTCGACTATGAGGGTTGAATCACACACTTACCTTGTGCTCGCATTCCCTTACACTTTTTTTTTTCCCGGGTAATGCTTTTGGTCGATTTCAAGTGGTTGGTTCTCTTCTTGCTATTCGAGCCGGTTGTTTATCCAAATGCAGATTTTACTTCTTTCCTCTTTGCTCCTGTTGCAATGCAATTGTGGTCGTCGTACACAATGCCGGATGATTAATGGTTCTGTTGACAATGCCTTCATTATGCAACACTCGTTTCACAAAATATTTGTATATTCTGTTGTCCTAAATATCATGGCTGCGCTTAACGGGGCTTCCTTCTCCGCCCGTGCATCACCTTGCTTGCTGTGTCTGTTTCCACGTGAAGCCATACCACGCTCGATGAGCTCAGCTTACAGCCTTCATGGAATTTGCAGACTTCAAGGATTATGTTCCCTGGCTTCTACACATCCAGTGCCTGCTGGTGCCCCCTCACCACATGCATGTCCGTCATTCATTTGTGCCTTATCAGCTATCTGAATTACAACAACTTGACAGGCCCCCTTCCTGACTTCCTTACCAAGAACTCAGCTCTTCGCGACTTGTGAGTGCCATTCCTCCTTGGGTTGACGTGCGAGCCACACTGCACAGCACGCCCTGCATGCTTCTTCTCATATTGCAACTTTTCGCTCCGTGTGCTATCCATTCAAATAAATATATGCTCCAAAATGTGGATGAGCAAGAAAACTTAGACTGGAGTCTTTGTTAGGACGACTGATATGGGTGTTCCTTATCTTATGTCCAATGCCAAAATGTGCGCGTAACACCCATCTTCCTATTGCACAATTGCACATTGCATGCATGTCATAGTCGGCTTGACTCGAGCAAAGGGCTGAGCCGTGGCTCAACCCTTTTGTCCTGCTAGCCATTGGAACCAGTCAAGCTGGTGTACACTTTGTTTAGCCAGCTAGTTGTTACTGCAAGAAGCTTTACATGGAAACTAGCAACCTGCATTTGGATATTTTGATCCTTGTGCATTCAATCACATTCCCATGATATGAGGTGCAGATATTTTAATGACAACGGGCTGACTGGCTCCATACAAGAAACAATCAGCAACCTTCAGAATCTGCTCACCTTGTGAGCCTCTCAACTTGAGAGATGACTTATTGTACCCCTTTTCTTAGGCTTACATATAAATCTACGTGTTCACCAGGTTTTGCCACCCTGGTCCACCCATCACAATTAGAATCGAGTGACTGCCCTTTCGTTCTCTCATCAACAAATGAACGTTCGCTGACAAGTCATGCACTCCAGCGGGTGTTTATACGCAGTGCCATCTTCGTCATCGGCTTCGCTAGTTTGTTTCCTTGAGCCATCTTCCCGCCGGCCATCCTGCTAGAACAACTGTTTTCGTGCACCGCTCCTTAGACCCAGGTCTTCACACTCCCTCGTTGGTCGCGTCATTAGCATAAATTCAGGTTCTTCTAGATCTTCCTCCTCCTGAGCCACCATTGCAGGGCGCTTCTCCTCTGCCGCTTCTAGTTCTGCTAGCTGCGCCCTCAATCGCACCATGGTTGCTTGCCGGTCTCCTCCTTCCTCCGTTCCACGCTGTTCTCTTTGGTTGCTATAGCAGTCTCCCTCTCTGCCCTTGCCCCGCCTGTTTCTCAATACATGCTACACAAATCTTTTCTTCCGTTGCCAGGAGTCTGCAAGGCAATCGCTTGACGGGGTCTATTCCATCCACGGTTGGAGTTATGAGCAGCCTCACATCATTGTGAGTAAACCTTTGAGGCGCCTCGAAAGCCGTCTCTCTACCCGCAATTTTTATAAGTCGTCTGACATCACTGTGAGTAAGCGACTTCTGAGACGTTTCAAAAGCCGCCCATTGTTTGAAGCTTGAGCATCCTGACATGATTGTGAGTACGGTTAGGGCAAGACACGGTTAGGGCAAGACACGGTTAGGGCAAGACACGGTTAGGGCAAGACACGGTTAGGGCAAGACACGGTTAGGGCAAGACACGGTTAGGGCAAGACACGTACCTCAAGTGCTACTCGCTTCTTCACTCCTTCTCAGAAGTTTCGGGGAGTTGGGTGCTACGTGGTGCTCCTTTGGACTACTAAGTTGAGTCTATGTTTGAAAGCAAGATAGATAAACAATCCAAGTAGAGAGAATTTTCCGTTTCCGATCAATAAATGCAACAATCTTTATGCATGCAATCTGTTCCCCTGTGTACGCTCACCCCTGGCTTGCATGCCCTTTTCCCATCAGAGCTATTGGCAACAACAGCCTGAGTGGACCAATCCCTGACTCCATCTCCAGCCTCTCAAACTTGGTTCAACTGTGAGGAGTACTCATCGTTGTTGGGTGATGCCTTAGGTACATCCAGGTTAACATGGGAAACGGGTCGGGTCGGGTCGGGTCAGGTCGGTTTGGGTCGGGTCGGGTCGACCCGCCCCTACACGAACACATCCGTTTGCCGAACCGAACAGTGTTCGGTTCGGCGAACACTTTAAGCAAAAACACGTGTTTGCCGTTCGCCTGTGAAGGTGTGTTCGTCCTTGTGCTCATGTCTACGTCCCGACCTGGAATTTTGGCCCTAGTCATGAGAAAAAGACCCAACCCGGGTCGAACCGACCTGGTTTGACCGGGTCAGGCACATTCCGGGTCGGGGCGGGTCATGTCCCCCGGGGGTCCATCGTCCATCATTTCAGATTGCCGACCTGACCCGGCCTTACAGAGGCGGGCCTTTCAAGACCCGGGCCCGGGTCGGGTCGACCCGGAGAAGGGTCGGGTATCTGTAACCGCTTTTGTCCGCCGTTCTGTGCAGATCGGCAAGATCGGCCGCCGATCTGATTTCTCCACTGACTGAGCAAAGCCGGGCACTCTCTCCTCGCCGTGCATCAGTCTGTGGATATACTGGTGGTGTACACTGACTGATACGACCTTGAAAGCATAGAACAGCATTGTCCCCGTTGGTTTTCTTCTACTCTGTGCAGGGAAGTTTGGAAAAACAACCTGACTGGCCTGATACCAACGACATTAAGCAACCTCCGGGTTTTAACAGTATTGTGCGTCTGTTGATTAGACTAGACTAGTAGCATGTTATCACTATTTCTTATCGCATCACCCATAACTCTTGTCTGATTTTTTTTTTTCAGTTTTGGATTTTCATGAACGCAAAAACCTCCAATAGCGTTTGCTTTCCACCTCTGAGAGTCCCGTACGGGACTACTCAGAGCGTATTTTTCCAGCCTTTATTCCACCAACCTCTCGCCGCTGCTATATATGCATCAACACCATACAGCCTTGTTGGACATGATGCTTAATGAGAAAATAATAAAGTCTGGCAAGTTCAGAGCCCTGTGCAGCACACACATTCTGAGTGCGGATGTATTGAGGTGTGCGGCGCTCTGTGCCGCCCTTACACTCTGAGTGGTAAATGGCATCTACTATAGTAGAAATGGGTCTCAAGGTAAGTCAGTGCAGATTCACGCACCACCAAGATAGTTCTTTCTGCCTCTGTTTGCATGCCGTTCTCACCCATCGCCCATTTTCCTCTCACCTACGATTATCTTTCCATCGCCCATTTTCCTCTCACCTACGATTATCTTTCCATCGCCCATTTTCCTCTCACCTACGATTATCTTTCCATCGCCCATTTTCCTCTCACCTCCGATTATCTTTCCATCGCCCATTTTCCTCTCACCTACGATTATCTTTCCATCGCCCATTTTCCTCTCACCTCCGATTATCTTTCCATCGCCCATTTTCCTCTCACCTCCGATTATCTTCCCATCGCCCATTTTCCTCTCACCTCCGATTATCATTCCATCACCCATTTTCCTCTCTCCAGACACTTTGCATACAACAGCATCACGGGTCCAATCCCTGACTCCCTTGAGGACCTCACAGGCCTTAGACGCTTGTGAGTAGACATGATGAGCAAAAGTCAAACACAACCGGTTCGGTTCGAATGGAGTCGAACCGACAGGTAGGTCGGACAAAATTAATCCAGATTCGATTCCAAACCAAACCGTTTTTTGGCACTGGCCAGCCAGCTCGAGGTTAGGGCTTAGCTGGTTGAACCGTAAGTCGAAGCCATTTTTTGAGAATTCTCAAAAAACAGATTCGGTTTGAGTCGAACCAAAATGGTTCAGGGAAAAATTCTCAGACGAATTTTACCTCTTTTTGTGGGAAGAACATGTACCGGGGCAGTCTGGGGTCACAGACAATATTGTAGAATGGTTGAGAGCGTTGGGGCAAGTGTAGATTAGGCTATGGAGGAAGTTGCAGGTCCGTTAAATGCACTGAATGTGTGGCTCTTGCGGCTTGTGAAGCCAGCTCCACACGACTTGGAATGAGCTGTACGTTGAAGACTGGTGGCTTGGGAAAAGTTGAGCTGCGGCCAGCTTGCCTACCTGCTCTTGCCTAATCCATATTGTGAGTGCCATGTTTTCTTGGGCTTTGTCTCAGATTGAAGCTTTTCATGCCAGATCTGCAGGTGTTGCCATGAGCTATGGCATGCGCCACACGACTTTGGATGAGCTGAACGTTGGAGACGGGTGGCTTGGGACGAGCCGAGCTGCCGCATTGCCCACCTGATCTTCCATTCTCTTGCTCTCATCGCATGCAGCATTTCCTTCGTTTGATATTATCTGTTGGCTGTTATCTTATCAGGGACCTGGGGTACAACAACTTGACTGGCACCATTCCAGAGTCTATTAGCAAAATCGCAAATCTTCAAGCATTGTGAGGGGCCATGCATATGTTCTTGGGTTCTGTCTCCGATTGGAGTCACCTACTGAGAATTTTCAGAGATGTCTCAGATTGAAGCTCGTGATGCCTTTAGATTTGCAGGCGTATCCATGAGCTGTGTGCCCTTGGAATGGAATGTGCTCTCCAGCTGTCTCCTTTTCATTCTCTCCTGCTGCTGCTGCTGTATCATTCATTCTCTCCTGATGATGCTGTATCAAGTACTATCATGCATTAAGGGGTTCCTGCCAGCCTGGATCTCCTCTCGTGCGCAGGGATGTGTGCAGGGCTTATGCCCTCCCTTATTCTCCTCTTTCGAATCAGGTTGAGCTGGCTCAAAACGAACGTAGCTTGAGATTGGAAATGGGCCCATTCTCACCACGACTCCCATTCTCACCTAGGCCATGGCTGCAATTACTCTCACCTCCCATTCTCCCCTCGCCTCCCATTCTCCCCTCGCCTCACAATCTCCCCGCACCTCCCATTTTTCACCTCCGATTTTCCCCTCACAGAGGTCTCACTCACAACAGCTTCACTGGCCCAATTCCTCAATCCATCGGGAAGCTTACTGGCCTTAATCTCTTGTAAGTAGACATGAACGAACGCGAATTATCAGTAAGTCAGACCAAACCGAACCAAGTCCAGGGCGAAACGTTCACGGTGCCTTCCGGTCTGAGGTTTGGTTTAGCTGGTCGAGTCATGAGCCGTTCGAGTTGAGCACAGCCTTCAATGGTCACCTTTTTTTCTTCCACTTTTTACCCTCTTTCTTGGTTTAGATTTTGTTGTAAGTCAAGTGGGGGTCACCGACAACGTGGTTGTGAGTGTTAGAATTGTTGAGAGCAGTGAACAGTTCTATTCAAACACCTTCAACAGTTGAAACGATCCGAACATCAACAGTTCGGTGCGACAAACATTTCTTGTGATGCTTCTGTTCGAGTGTTCGCCTTTAATGGTCGAACATTGTGTTCTTTGACCCGAATAAACATAAGTTCGAGCTCGGTTCGAGTATAGAACATTTGGCAATCACCTCACCTAGACACCTATTACCCAAGTCCTGCCAGACTCCCTACCAGTCTTCGATCTGCTGCTCAATCCGGAAATCAAATGCTTGTGCTTCGGTGGTTTAGCTTGGAGAAAAGAATTCGTGACCAAACAATCCTTAACTCACATCCTCAAATGCACGACTGGTTAGGACGACTAACATTAGAATTCTCACTAATTTCTACTAAAAACGCCATGTGAACGGGCTCACATGCAAGGGAAGGGAGTTGGGCGGATTAGGCTAGAAGTGAGCTCGAGATTAAAACCTAGTGCAGATTCGCTCAAATTCCACCTAAAAAGGGTGACCTGAGTCGCGTGTGTACGTGTTCGACGCGAACAAAAAACCTTGTCGGACACATTTGGGCCCCTCTTTGGTTCGACTTGAAACAGGGGTTCGGAATTTTTTTCAACCCCAGTTGAGAGTGACGGAATGTGGTAGAATGGTTGAATGCGTGGGAAGGTAGGAAGGGGAACTTGGAGCTCGACACGCTCCAGCATGGGGCTTGAACCGGTTCGGCCAGTTTGACCCACACCTTTTCTAGTTGGAGTCAAACAGAACCACTCCAAGCTGAGCGGTCCAATCCGAACCTGAACTGTGTGTGGCATATGTCTACTTGGGGGCCGCATGCACGCGCGCTCTCCATGCGCTTCCCATCAGGACCTTGGGCTTCAACGACTTGACGGGCTCGATTCCTGACTCCATTTCCACCCTGAAGAATCTTTCTGCCTTGTACGTGCTTCTTGGTTTCTGGTTGACATGTGAGCGATGAGCAGCCTGATTAATCAACCTTGATTTTTCCTCTATGTGTCTGCATAGGCACTTGATTGGGCTTCTCATTGTACGCTTTGATGCATCAATGCACTTGTTACCTAGCTGCGCCTGCTCCCATGGTTATTCTCATGTTGCAACTTTGTGCTTGTTGTGCTATGCATTTAAAGCACACATGCTTTGAAATGAATGAACAATGAAATCTATGCTGTGTGATTCTTTGATTGAGTTGCTGATTATTTGTTGCCCTAATGCCAAAATTTGTAAGCCATATCTTCCCATAACACTCTTTTCACATTGCATAAATGTCAAGTGGCTGTATGCAAGTAGGTTGTCTCAAGCAAAGTGTTAAATGATTGTTCTGCTGGAAATAGCTGCAGTTTGTGTGGTAGCCTTAATGTTTTAGGGTTTACAAAATTTAGTAAGCTTAATTTTGGTTGGATTGGGTGTATACTTTTTTCCCTTCCGATAACATATTTTCCACCCCGACTCCTACTTAAGGCCATGTATCTTTCTCTCGCATCAATCGATTCAACTCTCATTCTGACATGTACCCCTTTAAGGCTTACATAACTCACCACCCTGATCCACCCATCACAATCAATATTGAGTGATTGCCCTCTCCTTCACTCATAAAACACATGGATGTTTGCTGTTTGCCCTGCCTTTTTGTCAAAACACGCTACTGAAACTTTCCAACCGCCAGGAGTCTTCCAAGCAATCGCTTGACGGGATCCATTCCTTCCACTGTTGGAGTTATGAGCAGCCTGATATCATTGTGAGTACCTCAAGCATTATCTCGATTGTTACCCCAGTTCTCCACCAATTTCCAAAAGGTGCGCAGCGTTGGGTGATACATGGTACTCGTTAGCACTGCTAAGATATCGAGAAGCACTCTATTGTCTACAGGGATTCGGCTCAGTAATTGCCTGCAGTAGTTGTTGCAAAGCACATGCTTTCCGGAGTGAGAGTCGGGGCATCAATAGGTTGCTTGCTTGCATTATGTACATACACACACACACACGCACGCATGCACGCATACACACACACACACACATGCACACACACACACATACGTACGTACATACTTACATACATACACACACACACACACACGCACGCATGCACGCACGCACACACGCACACACACACACACACACTCGCTCACACACACACACAAGTACGCACGCACGCACGCACGCACACACGCATACCCTTTACTTAATGCAGACTCGATGACCTTGCAAAACATTTCATCAAACTTGCTCATGCTTTTGTGAGGCATCATGTATTTCTACAATAAGCATAGACTCAATATTTTCGACAACAAGTTTATTCTCTCAATAATTTTATTTCTTTCTAACATGGAATTTTAACACCGCGAGAGTGGAAAGCAATAAGAATGCAAGCCATGAAGTTATATCTAAAAGCAAGATCAATCCAACTAGCAACCACTTCATGTCTGATTCTGATCTATGAGTGCAATGTGTTACTCTCTATATGCCTGCCTTTCTCCCATCAGATCCGTTAGCAACAACAGTCTGAGTGGAACAATTCCAGATTCCATCTCCAGGCTTACAAACTTGATTCAACTGTGAGTACTACTCGTCGTTGTGTGAACGTCTGGGGTACAGCCAAACGTTATCTCATGTTGGAATCCCCATGCTCCTGAGCTTATCAGGTGTTGCCAGAAGCTTTCAGCATTTGTATGCCTGCTTACACTCTTCAGAATGGACCTACAAGGAAAGATTAAGACACAGACAAGAACTGCCAGTCTGCAGTTGGTTGGTCGATTTTTTTGTCGAGATATTCTAATCAAGGGGGTTCTTTTTTACTCTAGTCAACCGTGTTTTTACGGAAAAATCGACACTTGAAGTTTGCCCTAATCAAGTGAAACGACTGAGTCGAATTTTAACTCGACTTGAATATTCATGGAAGTTAAGCAGCAAGCACAACATTGTTTTATGTCTTGAAATTCGTATTAGGCTTGAACCAAAAAAAAAGAACCCCGCCGTCCTGTTCAAAATGAACCATTTCGCCACGAACCGAAATTTCTGTTTTGTTTCCCAAGTCAAGCCGATTCGCCTTGGAAACATCCCGAGCCGGTTTTGTTCGACGGGGGAGCAGAAATCCGCCTGGGTTTGTGAGCCTCATGTTTCGGGAGTTGAGTCATTCAACTTGAATGATTGTATTTGGCTCATGTATCAAGCTCACATATGAAACTATGTGTTCACAAGAATTCACCACCCATAGCATTTTCTTATCCGTGTATGTCCTCTTGTTCGTTCATTAACGCATGGAGGATGACTTTTGTCTGATTGAACCCACTTGCTTATGAATGCACACTACTCCTCCAACCCTCCCATCCATTGCCAGGGGCCTTCGCAACAATGGCCTGACCGGATCCATTCCATCCACCATTGCAAGTTTAAGCAGCCTGACAGGATTGTAAGATTAAGACGAGTACCTCAATTATGAATTACTATTGCTTTGGTTTTCAAACCTTGTGGCAGTTGGTTGTAGACATGAGCAAAAATTCGAACCTCTGTTCGGTTCGACTCGAAAGTGTTCGACTCGAACGTGTTCGACTGTTTTTTTTGCCCAAAATTGTTCGTGATGAACACCTTGGTGTTCGTCACGAACACGTTCGACTGTCCGAGTGTTTGTATGCAGAAAAATGCACGAACACCAAGGTGTTCGAGAACACAATGTGTTCGTCTCGAACACCTAGGCGTTCGAGGGAAAATTCAGCGTGTCAAAGTATGACACGCTGGTTGGATCTAAAAGGGGAGGGCAACAATTGAGCTCAAGAATGAGCTCAATCGTCGATATAGCCTAAGGATGACATTCCGCCCCCTACCCACTAAAACTACCACATTCCCACGGTCAAAATTCCACATTGTGGCTGGAAACGTTAGGTATAAGGTTGGATTAGGGTAGGAGACGGTTAAAAATAGGTACTAAGGGCATTTCGGTTTAGGTTGGAGTTTAGCAAGGCGAAATTGGATATCCACCAGATCTGCGCCAAGCCTAACTATAGGGCTATAGGGAACGTGATATTGCTTCTCGTACACTCGCCCTGCCTTAATGTGACTATACTGAAAGAACCCCCCAAAGCAAACTGTTCGAGTTCGGGTCAAACACCTTAGTGTTCGGCCTTGCCTCAAAACTGTTCGACCCTATACTCGAACAGGGAACACTAACATTTAAGAAAACTGTTCGAGTCAAACGTGTTCGGTTCTGTTCGAATTGATCAAGTGTTCGCAAACTGTTCGAGACAAACGTGTTCGGTTCGCTTGTTGCTCATGTCTAGTCGGTTGACACGTGATACTCAGCATTAGTCTGATGCTTGGCTCGCAAGTAGTTCACTCAATATTTGCGAGTGGTGGCCGTACATACATGATTTTGTGTTGATTTCGTTCGGTTTTGCCGTTGCACTACATACATACACCTGTCATGTGCAATTCTGATATCCTTGCAAAGCATCCCAATCAAGCTTGTTTTCTCATCTGCGGCTGCTTAACAAATGCTGTAAAAAGGATACTTTTGTAAATAATGCAAGGCTATGAGTGGCAAACACCAGGAAATGCAAGGCACGAAGCTAGGACATGTGAAAATGATAACCAGCATGCATCTTTCTTCCATTTCTCAACACCAATTTCCCCGTTTGCTCGCCCCTTGCTTGCATGCCTTTCTTTCATCAGAGTCTTGAACAACAACAGCCTGAGTGGAACAATTCCCGACTCCCTCTCCATGCTCTCGAACTTGATTCGACTGTGAGTAGTGATCATTCTTGGGTTAACATATTAGGTACAGCCAGGTATCACATGCCCGTTTGGGTTCCACATGCCCATTTGGGTACCACATGCCCATTTGGGTTCCACATGCCCATTTGGGTACTACCACATGCCCATTTGGGTTCCACATGCCCATTTGGGTTCCCCATGCCCATGTGGGTACCACATGCCCATTTGGGTTCCACATGCCAATTTGGGTTCCCCACGCCCATTTGGGTACCACATGCCCATTTCGGTACCACATGCCCATTTGGGTTCCACATGCCCATTTGGGTTCCCCATGCCCATTTGGGTACCACATGCCCATTTGGGTTCCCCATGCCCATTTGGGTACCACATGCTCATTTGGGTACCACATGCCCATTTGGGTACCACATGCCCATTTGGGTACCACATGCCCATTTGGGTACCACATGCCCATTTGGGTTCCCCATGCCCATTTGGGTACCACATGCCCATTTGGGTTCCCCATGCCCATTTGGGTACCACATGCCCATTTGGGTACCACATGCCCATTTGGGTACCACATGCCCGTTTGGGTACCACATGCCCATTTGGGTACCACATGCCCATTTGGGTTCCCCATGCCCATTTGGGTACCACATGCCCATTTGGGTTCCCCATGCCCATTTGGGTATCACATGCCCATTTGGGTACCACATGCCCATTTGGGTACCACATGCCCATTTGGGTTCCCCATGCCCATTTGGGTACCACATGCCCATTTGGGTTCCCCATGCCCATTTGGGTACCACATGCCCATTTGGGTACCACATGCCCATTTGGGTACCACATGCCCGTTTGGGTACCACATGCCCATTTGGGTACCACATGCCCATTTGGGTTCCCCATGCCCATTTGGGTACCACATGCCCATTTGGGTACCACATGCCCATTTGGGTTCCCCACGCCCATTTGGGTACCACATGCCCATTTGGGTTCCCCATGCCCATTTGGGTACCACATGCCCATTTGGGTTCCCCATGCCCATTTGGGTACCACATGCCCATTTGGGTACCACATGCCCATTTGGGTACCACATGCCCGTTTGGGTACCACATGCCCATTTGGGTACCACATGCCCATTTGGGTTCCCCATGCCCATTTGGGTACCACATGCCCATTTGGGTACCACATGCCCATTTGGGTTCCCCACGCCCATTTGGGTACCACATGCCCATTTGGGTTCCCCACGCCCATTTGGGTACCACATGCCCATTTGGGTTCCCCACGCCCATTTGGGTACCACATGCCCATTTGGGTTCCCCACGCCCATTTGGGTACCACATGCCCATTTGGGTTCCCCACGCCCATTTGGGTACCACATGCTCATTTGGGTACCACATGCCCATTTGGTTACCACATGCCCATTTGGGTACCACATGCCCATTTGGGTACCACATGCCCATTTGGGTTCCCCATGCCCATTTGGGTACCACATGCCCATTTGGGTTCCCCACGCCCATTTGGGTACCACATGCCCATTTGGGTACCACATGCCCATTTGGGTACCACATGCCCATTTGGGTTCCACATGCCCATTTGGGTTCCCCATGCCCATTTGGGTACCACATGCCCATTTGGGTACCACATGCCCATTTGGGTACCACATGCCCATTTGGGTACCACATGCCCATTTGGGTTCCCCATGCCCATTTGGGTACCACATGCCCATTTGGGTACCACATGCCCATTTGGGTTCCACATGCCCATTTGGGTTCCCCATGCCCATTTGGGTACCACATGCCCATTTGGGTACCACATGCCCATTTGGGTACCACATGCCAATTTGGGTCTTAGTTGCGGAAGACGCGTCTAGCGTCTTAGACGCGTCCGTCTAGACGCAGCGTCTAAGACGCTAGACGCTAGATGAGTCAGATTAGACGCAGTATTAGACGAAAGCCCGGGCAGGCTAAAAAAAAGGTTCGGGCAGACAAGAAAAACTATATGGGGCATGGGGAGGGTGGGGGACATGCACGTATGTCACAATGGGGTCAATTTTTCCCCGTACCATAACCTCTTCCCCATTCTTAGATTTCTGCAGGAGGAGGGGATCGAAGGAACTAGCTAAACCCTAAGGGTTTTCAAAAGAGATTTGGAAGAACTGAATGATGGGGAGCCCAAATGTGGGATTTGTGCTCCCCAACCTCTTGGTGGTTAGCCATAGAGGTTGGGTTTTCTAGATACCAAGCGGTGAAGTGTGGTTTGTGTTCAATTTTGGTTGGGGGGGATTCAAAATTGCGTGGGGGGCTGGTCGAAATGGGTGGGAAGGGGTTCTAATGGCGCGAAATTGAATTTCGCGTCGAAACGGCAAATTTCAATTTCGCGCGCGGTTTTTTTTTCGGGCTGCCCGAAAAAATTTAGCCCAAGCGTCTAGCGTCTAAAGGTGCGTCTTGCGTCTAGCGTCTAGACGCTGCGTCTAGACGCTAGACGCAAGACGGGTCGAGCGTCTTCCGCAACTAAGATTTGGGTTCCCCATGCCCATTTGGGTTCCCCATGCCCATTTGGGTTCCCCATGCCCATGTGGATTCCCCTTGCCCATTTGGGTTCCCCATGCCCATTTGGGTTCCCCATGCCCATTTGGGTTCCACATGCCCCTTTAAGTTCCCCATGCCCATTTGAGTTCCCCATGTCCATTTGGGTTCCCCATGCCCATGTGGATTCCCCTTGCCAATTTGGGTTCCCCATGCCCATGTGGATTCCCCTTGCCAATTTGGGTTCCCCATGCCCATTTGGGTTCCCCATGCCCATTTGGGTTCCCCATGCCCATTTGGGTACCACATGCCCATTTGGGTACCACATGCCCATTTGGGTACCACATGCCGATTTGGGTACCACATGCCCATTTGGGCTCCCCATGCCCATTTGGGGCCAATTTGGGTTCCCCATGCCCATTTGGGTTCCCCATGCCCATTTGGGTTCCCCATGCCCATTGGGTTCCCCATGCCCATTTGGGTTCCCCATGTCCATTCTCTTCTCTGCATCGGTGAACTTCATCTCATGATTTAAGCACCCATATGCGTGAGTCATATGTTTTTCTTTCATCCATTCCTTCCAGGGTCAAGCCGGTAGTTGAAAGCTTAACGTTATCAAACACAGGCATAAGAAATGCTTATGGAACCACATCCACACATTGCATTTGTTTGTAACAAGCAATGTAGGTAGACATGAGCAATGAACTGAACTTCAGTTTAATTTGATTGTTAAATCGATTTTAGTTCCCTTTTTTTTTCTCAAATTAGTTTAATCCGAACCAGTACTGGTTTGGGTCAAACGCTTCGGTTGAATTTGACTAAGTGTGTTGAGCCGCGTCTAATCGAATATAGACCTGAACCTGCTTCTTTACCCATTGGTCGAACCACATTGCTGAAGCATTGCACTCTCAAACAGTACAAGTTCCAACCACGCATTTTGGTTCAACCCGAAGGCATTTTGGTTCAACCCGAACGCACTTCGGTTCAACCCGAAAGCATTTCGGTTCAACCCGAACGCATTTCGGTTTAACCCGAACGCATTTCGGTTCGACCCAAACCGAACCAGTTTGGTTCGATTTGTTGGTGGTCGGCTTGGCACAGTTCAACCCGAACCAGTTCGAGTTCGGTTTTTGTTCATGTCTAGTTGTTGCCTTTGCGTCATCTGGACACAAACTCCATGTAAGCCAACTACCTGTAGCATATACTTTCTCACACCTCTACATCAGTTAGACTCTCTTTTATCCATTATCCAGAAATGCAAGTATGTAGATTTGAACCATTACATTCAATGTGCTCATGACCACCTGATGTCTTCAGTCAGACACGCAGCTCAAGAAGAGTGTCAAGCTTGAGATGACCCCAAATTCCACCAACATCAAGCGTTGAGGTCAAGAATCCGCAGCCTGCCGAGCGTGCATGCGTCAGTGAATTTGTGACACAATATACAAGCAATGCTTCAATCCAAGTACAATTGAGAATCTCGAAGCTCACTGTGACCTATCATTTGATTTTTTTCCCCGACGTGAGATGGAAAACGCTTGGCTCACATAAAGACAACTCGCTTTCTCACGATCCCTCTTCTTTCTGCTAATCAACCGCCAAACCCCATCACACCATCAGCAAGTGATTGTGATCCTAAGTTTGATCACGAATGCAAGAGGTTTTCTTCAAAATCATAGTCTGGCTTTCTCCTAAGAACAATCCTCTCACCCCCGTCTATCCCTGTGATTGTTGTATTTGCTAATCAACCCCAACCAATTGCCATGTGATTCTTTACTCCCATCGGGAATGCCATCGTGAATGCCTTTGTGAATGCCATCGGGAATGCCATCGTGAATGCCATTGTAAATGCCATCGTGAATGCCATCGGGAATGCCATCGTGAATGCATGGTGAATGCAGGGAGCTGTCTTCAAACTCACTGTCTGGCTCCATGCCAAATTCATTTGCACGCCTCACCAACTTGGAGGACTTGTATTTTATCAAATGTTTCTTCAAGGATTGCCCATGATTTGAATATTTACTCCTTGGCTCCTTGAGTGAACCTGAACGCCATGTGTTTGTTTCTCAGTTAATGTCATGCATTGCTCCATTTACTGTCCCACAATCTGTGCTTCTCTAATATCTCCAATAACCCTGTCGTTGTTCATGGCCTTTAATGCCCCGTCATCAGAAACATTGCCAACAACACCCTGACAGGCAGCATTCCACCGTCCATTGGCAGCCTCGCCCAGCTTTCTACTTTGTGAGCGCTCTTCTCTTCTGAATGGCAGCTCTTGGCCCACCAGTGCATTGCACCCAGCTGGTTGGTGTTTCTAGAACGACAGGCATGAGAGAATTGAAATCCACTGTGTGCTATGATGCGTGCGCTTGTAGCCCGATGGGAGGAATCAATCCGCCCTCCCTTGCCTGTATGTTGTCTTCCCTCACATTTGCACGTACAGGAATGTGAGTGGAAGTGGCCTGACCTGCCCTGCTGACTACACTCCATGCGTGGCGCAGCAGCAGCCTCAGAGTGCCTTTTGCCTCCAGTGCGCCTCCTTCTGTGCCACCTGCGGCAAGCCAGCACCTCGTAAGCCATAACGAGTTCCTCCGCCATCCCCCTTCGATGTGTTGTGTCACATGAGCTTTTCTCACATCACATGCGCCTTGCACTCTCGAGTCTGCCCATTCAGTTTCAGTGAGCGTGTTCATTCCACTCCCCTGAATCCCCATCTCCAAGCATAGGCCAGCATGCCATTGGCAAGCAGCAGCAGTACTGGTGCTCTTCTTGCACTTTAATATCTGATTTAGATTGACACATAATCGAGTGCTAGTCAGATATCAAGCTGTTCTCCTCAGCACAGCGATTTCTGTCCGTCCCACACCTTGATTGCAACCACATGTTCGTCTCATATCCCCTCGCATGCCACTTCTCCTCCCATGTCCCCTCCCTTGTTGCCTCCAGCGCCCCTATCTCCTGGGAGCACCACAGGGTCCCCATCTCCCCCCACGGCCTCCCCAGCAGCCCCCCCTTCGCCTGCTAAGTCCACCTCCCAGTCTGGCGGCCTCACAGCAGCCGCCATTGCTGGCGTTGCCGTGGCTTCCCTGCTGCTGCTGGTTTGAGCAGTAGTTGGAAGCTCCCCTCTGGATGTTAAGACATTTTTGTGGAGGTTCATATGAAGGAGGCTGTTGAAGTAGATAAATTATTGCCTGTGGCTGAGATAGTGCATGCCCTAGTAGTTGAATGACACGATACCAAGAAGGCATGGCTGTAGGTGTTGTTGCCAAGGATGCGGATATTGATTGATGATTGACTGTGCTTCTGTTCAAGGGATCGATGTCAATCAAGCCATACAGAGTGAAGAGTGTTGACAGTTTAGAATTGGTGTAGCTGTAGGTGCCAGCAGTGGCAAGCAGGATTCATGAATCGGTGCGTCCTCGAGAACCCTTGCACCGGTGCGTCCAACCCTATTAATGACAAAGCTCTAGCTTGATTGGTACACTGTAATTCGTATCACTACACCTAGAGTTTACCAAGGAATGTCTAAGATACCGTCGTCACCATGAGGGCCTAGGTGCTTTTAGGAATTAGACATGAAAGGGGGTGGGGGGAGGGGTGCAAGGGTTCTCGTTGGACGCAAGCGGTGCAAGGGTTGAAGCGGTGTTGGCCACCGAGGACACAAAGACCAAGCATGCCTTGCCGCTTCGCTGCAACTCTCGTAGTAGAAAGTACCGCACCTCTGCATTACTCTGGTCTCTAGTTGAGCCACTCGACACAAGAGGATCATGGCCTTGTTGTCAGCAAATAAGGTCAGTGGGGAGCAAGGCCGCCCAACTAGGTCGGTGAGCAAGAAAGTCAGCCAGCGAATCTCTTGAGTTGCCATGGCGCTGGCGTAGATTTCGGCCTCAGCACTGGACGAAGCCACAGACGACGCTCGTGTCGACCTCCACAACACAGACCCGGAGCCCAAGCTGAAACAATAGCCTTATATAGACATGCGAGTCTTCTCGTCAGCCGCCCACGAGGATTCGCTGTGTCCGGTAAGTCGCGCTGGCTGGCTCCCTCCGAGTTTGAGCCCCATGCCTGATGTGGTGGCCAGGAAATTCGCTACCCTCTTACACCAGCCGACCAGTACAGTGTCTCGCAACAAAGAGGGCAAGGACGCTAAGAGGATAGACGAGGTTCGATCGAGAACACGTCACCAGGTACATGAGGCAACCCACAAGCTTTGTGTAACGGCCACTAGGCTCAATCGGCTCGTCGGGAACAAGAGCAATGAGCCTGTGATCAACGGCAAGAGGAGTGGGCTATGTGAAGGAGAACAGGAAGCCAACCTACTGAAGGATGTGCTGCGCCATGTGTGACTGGGACGTGCTGCGCCATGTGTGACTGAGTCAGAGTGATGGTGCATGTTGCTCTGTCCCCTGGTGATCTCCGCAGCTCACCAAGGTCAGTGCAAGTGTGTTTTTTACGTAGTTCTGACTTCATTGAAGCCAAGGCAAACGTGCTTGCTATAGCAAAGACCAGGTCAGCAACGTACACGAGGACGAAGAAAGGAGTAGACCTATAATGAATGAACAGTGACGGGTCGGCTGAAGAAGGACTAGACCTGAGGTCAGCAAGAGTGGAGCAGAGAGTGTCGTGCCACCCACGAGGTGCCTGGCTGAGACTATAGACTGGTCGTCTCAGGCTATAGTGGGTCCCAGCTGGGAAAGTGCCAATGAAGCTAGGAGGATGGCGCAGCCAGATCTCCTTGTTCAGATTGCCTTGGAGGAAGGCAGTGGAAAATTCTAGCAAGTGCAGTTTGTAGTATCGCCGTGCTACGACATGCAGTACTACCCAAAGAGTGGTCATCTTTGGGATAGGGGAGAAGGTCTGAAAGAAGTTTAATCCCTCACGCTGATTAAAGCATCTCGCCATGTAGCACGCCTTGAAGACAGGCGGTGATTCAAGCAGCTGCTTGACCTTGAAGATCCACATGCCATCGACCACGTTTACCCTAGGAGGGGGAAATGTGTCGACTACGGAGATAAATCTATCAACGGGAGCTAGACTACGGGCTAGGCACGGGGTAGGAGGGATCTCTGTGATAGTTCACTTAGTCGCTCTCTAGCACTTGTGCGTTCACAGGGCGAAACCACAAGAGTTTCACTAGCAAAAGTAGAGAACAATGGTTGCAACTAGATTGGTAAGGTATACTACATCAGAAGCATAGCATACAAGTCGACCACTAGCTCAGGACGAAGGCGACTTGCCAGCTGGTCGACCTCAGGCGTCCTCAGTCGACCTGCAAGGCTGGCGTGCTAGCACACCAACAACAGGCCACCATAGGTCACCACACATGCTCATGTGTGCGCACCTACTTCGCAGGTGCACGGAGATGGTAATGACATGCACTGCCACGCACATTGCGCAAGTGCCAAGTCAACCACATGTTGACGGTTGCACCTGAGGAGTCCTGTTGACCACGTGCCACCGAACCGTAGGTCAACATTGCCAATCTACCTAGGCGACAGTCGCGAACCTCGCAGACCTCGTCGTCCGAGTAACCTGGTCAACCAGGCAACCATGTCGATTAGGTGTGTCATCCCAGGCCCGTCGATCGCCTAGGTCGACGACCACCACATGTCGACCACACCAGGTCGACCACTCCCCTGGTCGACCAACTCCAGGTCGACAACCCACCTGGTCGACCAACTCCAGGTCGACCAATACACCTGTCAGCACCCAGTCGGCTCCCCCTGGTCGGCGTCACCCAAGTCAACGCCCCCCACTGGTCGACCTCCCAGGTCGACCAGCCGAAGTTGGCGCCCTCCCAAGACGACCAGCAGAAGTTGGCGCCCTCCCAAAGTTGGCGCCCTTGCAGTGGCCTTTGTGCAGGTTGACCAGGCCCGTCGACCAGCTCGCCCACTATTGCAGGTCGGCTGCCAGCCCAGACAGCAGGACTACTTGGAGAATAGCTCGTCTGCGTGCACCCAACATGCAGCACGCCGGTCACCGCACCAGCCATGCAAGAGTACATGGCACCTACTGCTGCACGTCATTATCACCGTCGCCCACGTCGACTAGGCACACCTGGCCGATTGCAACGGAGCACTGGTTGAAGGCCGGGTAGTGCAGCGCCTTCGTCAGGAAGTCGGCTGGCTGCTCAGCGGTCGGGATGTACCTCAGTGAAAACTTCCCGCGCTTCACCATGTGCTGCAGCCAGGTTTGTCGTCGCTCCATATGCTTGAGGTTGCCCGTCAACCCCATGCCCTTTGGCGACTATGATGTCGACTTGTTGTCCACCCGAAGAACAGTCGGCGTCCCGGCGTCCAGCTGCCGGAATTCTGCAAGGAGGAAGCGAAGGCGACGTCCCTCCTTGCCGGCTTCGGTTGCCGCCACGTGCTCCGACTCGGTCAACGATAGCGTCGCGCACTTGATGTGCTGGCTCGAACAAGAGACGGCAGCCCCTCCAAAGACAAAAACGTAGCCGCCCGTGCTCGTCCGGTTCTGCTTGTCGTCGGCGTCCACGTAGCCAACCAGCTTCAACGACTCTACTCCACCGCCGAACTCCAGGGCGGTGTCACGGGTGTTCGCAAGGTAGGAGAGGCAGCGGTCAAGGTAGGAGTCGGCGTCCTTCGCCAAGGTCGAGGACTTGTCGACTGCTTCTCCTTGCACGGCTGGTTTCTGACTCGACGGGGACGACGGCTGCCAGACCTCTCGTGGCCTCCTTAGGCATCGTCGTCGTCGGAGTCACTGCGGTTGGTGTTGTACCAAAGCACTATAATGGCACGGTCATCACACTCCCATTCCGCCTACAAGCCTGCTCAGCTTCTGGAATTTTGTGGGGAGGTGCTTCAACATCTGCTCTTCAGACCGTGAAAGTTTCAGAATTTTTGAAGCAGTTTACAAGGCATGGCAACATTTTTAGTTTCAAGACCTATGGCATCCCGGAAGTGTGTGTTACTCTTTTTTGGTAACACGCAAGTTCACAATTTCGGCTGCTGACTCATCTACCAAGCTCTGATTGGTTTGACGATCGGTGTGGTAGTCCTTTGCCGTGTTGTTCAGGAGGTCACCGAGTTTCAGGACATCCCAGCATCGGAGCAGCACGTGACAGCTGTCGAAAGTTACTGTTCCATGGTCATGGTGCACTGTTGGCAGCATTTCCCTTGCCACCCTTTCATTGTTGTCATGCCAATGGTGCAGGGACAGAGAATGAGACAAGAAGTACAGGTGGTCAAGTGGGACTCTACCACCCTCATTTTAAGAAGTGTGGTCTTCCTGAAATCAGCTTGCAAGAGGGTGCAAGTGGGAAGACAAGCTGACTCATGGTTGGCTTGACTCACTATTGGTAGCCTTGAGTACAGCTCTAAACATCCAAGTGTGGTTGGCTTTGCCGACCTAGCTAGGACGTTTCCCATCCTTCTCTAGCCTTTCTCCCCTAAGACTCAACCTTCTCTGAGTTCCCAGGATGGTCCCAACCCCTTAAGAGTCCCCTAGGCAATGTTGTACTCACCTCTTCCTTGCATCAATGAAACTATACGTTTTTCAGCCAAGCTTACGTTTTTTGTTCAATGCGTAGCGCATACAGCTCTGATGAAAGAAATCAATATACAGTTCGAAAGCAGTCACCAAAAGCTAACGTCTGTCCAAGTTTCAGCCTCGTATGTTATTGGAGCTGATCGTGACAGCGTTTTGAACAGAGGCGGTTCGAAGTCGTCAGATTCTGCTTAGGCGGTTTGAAGGGCATCCGCGATGCCTAAGTGGACTCTATACTATAACAAGTGGTATCAGAGGCGGTTCTTCTCTGTTCCGGGGTCAATATGGAGGCTGAAGGTTCTGCTCCAGCTGGTCTTAGTGGCACTGGTGGCATAAGAGGCGCTGGGGAAGCAGGAAGAGGCGTTGCAGGCGGATCTGCACCAATAGCATCTGTTTCAACACCAGCCAAGGATGATGTGAAGGCACTCAACCTGGAGAAGTTCTCTGGGGAGGATTGGGCATCATGGAGCTTCAGGATGGAGCTCCTATTTAACCATTATGGGCTGCTTCAAGTGATGGATGGAGAATTGAAGACGCCTGCAAGCGAAGGAGTGACCAAGGAATGGAATCGCCGATCCAAGCATGGATTCTTCCTTCT